TTATTTTACAGTTCAGTTAAAATAAACTCACCATGCTCTGTTCAGCAAAATATGCTGCACAGTGTTGCTCCCTGCTTCATCTGTGCTGAAAGTGAAAGTGATTCTTTAGTGAACATCATTGACTTGAAAATAGTCTTCATTCAATTCAATTCAATTCAATTCAAAAATACTTTATTAATCCCAGAGGGAAATTATTTGTTGTTGTAACTCGTTATCCTCATTTCATTAAGAGACGTCATAGATGCTGATGGCTGTAGACAGGATGGATCTCTTGTAAAGGTCCATCCCACAGTGGATCCTAAGAAACTGGTTGCAGATGCCGTCCGATCCGTCCACCCAGACTCGGCTGGCCTCTCGGTTCCCCCGGGCTGTAGGACCACCTGAATGCTGGGCAGAACTCCTCCCAGAGCGATGGCCACTCCTCCCAGCAGTCTGCCAAGCTCCTTGTCGCTGCGGACAGACAACTGTAGGTGCCGAGGGACGATCCCGTCTTTCTGCTGTCATGAGCCAAGTTTCCTGCTAGTTCCAGGATCTCAGTGGTCCGGCACTCGAGCACAGCTGGCAGGTAGATGAGAATGTGTCCACAGAACATCCTTTTCAACTCATCTGAGATTTGGGGCTGTAGTTGATATATTATTTGAGCTTTTGAGATGTTAATCAGCTGCTGTTGGCTGTAGAAAACTGCCTTGTTGCCATGGTTACGCATCATAACAAATGTCCAAAACTAAAAAAGTTTCAGTAAAAATCCTTCCAGCTGCACAGCATCTGATACCAGAGGAAACAATCATCCAGAAGATAAGATTTACATCCAGAAAAAGAGGAGTTAAAGTTTCCAAAAGCAAAATCTCAGAATGAAAGTAACAGAGCTGCTCCAACATGCAGCCACCTTGAGTGGCGCAATTCTAGAACTCCTCCAATTCATGCCTCCTCTGCTGGATACATTGTACAATAACGGCTGCATCCAGGAATTTTAAAGGTGAAAATTAGAAGTGTTTATATCGGCGCATAATGGGACAATTATCACCGATACCGATAGGTCCCCAAGCGCCTATATCAGCCCTACCGATATAATATCGGCCCTACCGATATAATATCGGCCCTACCGATATATCGGCCCTACGATATTATATCAGCCCTACCGATATAATATCGGCCCTACCGATATATCAGCCCTACCGATACAATATCGGCCCTACGATATATCAGCCCTACCGATATATCGGCCCTACCGATATAATATCGGCCCTACCGATATATCAGCCCTACCGATATAATATCGGCCCTACTGATATATCAGCCCTACCGATATAATAT